TAAGAGTATGTTCAGTTTTGTAAGAAACTGCAAACTGTCATCCAAAGTGGCTGGGCCATTTCGCATTCCCACCAACGATGAATGAAGAGTTACTGTTGCACCACATCCTTGCCAAAACTTGGAAGCAACCAAGAGGTCCATCAGTAAGTGAATGAATAAACGTGGTCCATCCAGACAATGGAATATTATTCAGTGCTAAAAAGAAATGAGCTATCAAGCCATGAAAAGACATGGAGGAAACTTAAATGCATATTACTAAGTGAGAGAAGCTAATCTGAAATGACTACATATTGTATGATTCCAACTACTATATGACATTCTGAAAAAGGTAAAACTATGGTGACAATAAAAAGATCAGTGGTTGCCAGGGGTTGGGGGGGTAAGAGGAAGGGATAAAGCACAGAGGTGGAGCACAGAGGATGTTTAGGGCAGTGAAAATACTCTGTATGGTATTATAAATAATGGATACATGTTATTATACATTTGCCCAAACTCATAGAATGTTTAATACCAACAGGGAACCATAATGTAAACCATGGGCTTTGAGTCACTATGATGTGTCAATGCAGGTTCATCAATTGTAACATTCCACTCCTGGGTATTTATCCAAAAAAATCCAAAACACTAATTCGAAAAGATATGTGGACCCCTGTGTTCACTGCAGCGCTACTTACAATAGCCAAGATATGGAAACAAACAAAATGCCCATCAAAACACAACTGGATAAAGAAATTGTGGTACATTTATACAATGGAATATTACTCTGCCATAAAAAAAGAATAAAATCTTATCATTGCGAAAACATGGATGGACCTAGAGGGTATTATGCTAAACAGTGGGGATGTTGATCACGGGAAATGCGCCGGGGGTACACAGGAAAAATCTCTGTACCTTTCCCCAAATTTTGCTGTGAACCTAAAAAATGCTCTTAAAAAATAAAGTCAATTTAAAACATGAAAAAAAAAAGGATTGCTTGGATAGTATGACTTTTCTTACAGGAACTTCAGTAGTGAAATGTTTCGTGGCTATAAGTACAGAGCTCTAAAATCTAAACATCGGTGAGCAAGTCCTGGGTTAGATGCCTCTGGATTTTGTCTGCTTACGTAATTACTGACTTAAACCATCATGCACATTGTCATTTGCTCTCACACACAGCAGCTGTGTGGAACAGAGAGGATGGTTCCACGACCTGGATCTGCTATCACAAAGGTGATCCTTTCACACACAGTGATGCTATATGAACGTCTCCCTAGGAAAACACATGCTTTCAGTGTAATGCCAGCACCTACCTACAGCCCTGGGATCATCTAGACTCCTGTAAATCACATGTTCACACTCTCTCTACAGACATCAAAGTTAAAGCCAATGGTCCCCCACTGCCAGAGTTGACCTTGTTCATTTTTATCGACTTCCATTCTAAATCATCCCTTGTTCTTCTCCAAGCATGTTACCTGTCTTCATAAATTTGAAGGCATTAGTGGCACTCATTTCTAAACTATTTCCTTAAATCCTATCCAAATCCTACACCAACTCTGATTCAGCAATTTAGTCTCATTCACTCTGCTTTTCACAATCCTGTGATTCTCATTTTTTAAAGCATTAGCTTCATTTTATCTTTCCCTTTCAACTCAGGTCCACATCTTGTTTCACTGTACATTCTCTCCTCTCTTTTCTTTACCTTTCCTTATTCTTCTGTTGTTATAAACAGCGTTGCCCCAGTAGAGTCTGTCTTAGGTGATAAAGTTGGCAGAAAGGTAGAGTACTGGGGGCTGGAAGGACACGGACCCAGTGAAGGAGCAGGTTAGGTTTTCTTCCTCATGGCCACCCTCATACTCCCAAGTGCTTCGGAGAAGGCTGGTCCACAACCTTGTAGGAAAAGTGAAGAGGTGACAAGTGGTCCCCGTGGATAGGCAAAAAGATGTAGCAACAGAAGCTGAGCGAGGCTTCTGAGCAGGCAATTCACAAAAAGAACACCAATGTCCAATGATGATATGAAAAGATGTTCCGTCTCACTAGGAATCAAAGAAATACAAACGTCTGCCTATCAGATTGATAACATTGAAAAGATGAACATTAACCAGTATTGATGAGAGTGCGAGGAAACACTCTCAGACAATGTTGGCTGTAGGGGAAGCTGGTAGGTCCAAGTTTTCTGCAGCATAGTTTAGCAACAAATATCTAGACTTCAGGCGTCTATGGCCTCTGACTCAGCAACTCCAATGTGCAAGATTCGGCCCGAGAAAATAAGTAGATAAGGAAAGAAAGGTAGGGATACAAAGACCATAAAAACCTCTGCCTTGTTTATGATGTGAGGGCAAAGTCAGGTAGGTGGGGGAGCATGGGAAAGAAGCCCAGGGCCTGTGGTTGGGGAGCGGGGGAGGAGGGAGGAGAGAAGAGAAACAGACAGGGAAGGGGAGGAGAGGGGAGCAGGATGGAGCACAGAGGGGTGTGAGGAGGGGGAAAGGGGGAAGAGAGGCTTACAGAGGGCTGCGTGAGAAAGGAGCAAGAAGAGCGTGCGCCAGGAGTAGTGTGTGAGGTGAGAGAGAACTGTGGGGAAGAACAGAAGACTAGGAGCGGACGCAGGGCAAGAAGCAAGTCTCCATCAGTGCACCAACTATGGTACTTCCGTGGCACACGGCACTAAAAGAACAATGCAGCTCTCTGTTAGGAAATGGAAAGACAGTTCACTGGGACGCTCCGGATACAGGACAGCAAACATAGTGTGGCCGAGTTTATAAATAGTGACACCCAAAGACAAGTGCAGCCGAGGGGTTACTACATGGGTATCACGGCTCTCACTGGGTGCACTATTCTGAGGTTTATAGTCCTCTTCATGCTTTCCTAGCCTGTCAGGATTTCAGTAAGCAATTTCTCCCAAGATGCAACACACTACAATTCTACAGAACTTAGACCTTTGTCCTTTCCTATGAGAATTAATCAACATGGAAACGAATTAAGCAGATGCAATGGTTCCACCTGCTTTTCATACTGCAGACGTGCTGCTCACATGTGATCAATTTCAAGTGCTCGTTAAAATGTCATTTGAGTAAACCTGTACTGGAAAGACAATGGAGGTAGGCTATAAATATAGATGTCACCCGCTTAGCTGTTCCTGGGACATTTATCAAACCAAAATACTTCTCTCTCAGTCACATCAACAGTGGAGATGTAAAAAGCTGTCTTAATTCAGGTTCTCCCAAAAGCAACCCCTAACACAGGGACTGGGGAACAGGTCTTTTATTCGGGCATGGGGAAAGTGAGGCAAAGCAGGAGGGAAGGAAGCCAAGAGAGGGTGTGTTAATGAATGGAGTGCTACAGCAGGCAACTGGTGGTAACCGCTGCAAACCCTCCGAGGAACAGTGGGGAACATATCACAGAACTGTCCCACTGGTGGTCACAAGGGGCCGGGGGCTCTGTCCTCAGGCTCCCTCCCTCATCAGTCTGCTGTGGGAATGAGCACCTACGGGCCAAACATGGCGCTGTTTGGACTGTGTTTATTATCTCACCAAACCCCACCAACTCCATGGAGTATTGGCCCTATTTGACAGATTAGCGATCTCAGATGCACAAAGATTACGCCATTTGCTGAAAATCAGTTCACAAGCAGCTGAGCTGGACTCTGAGAGCAGTCTTGCCTCTTCCACTCTGCGCTGCAGTGTCATAAAAGCCACAGCACATCCATTCTCAACACAGCTCACACTCCCTGTACTGACACAGCCCGAGAGATACTTGCAAGTTTCCAGCCTCTCTCCTTGCAAGAAAAATGTACTGAGATAGCTGCCCAGATTGTGTGAATCTTCTTGCATCCATCGAAAAATCTTCTAGGTCATAATCCGCCAGCCATGTGAGATTTTTATAGCATCATCATCCATAGCTACTCCCATCCCAAATACCGGTCACTATGAAATTATACCAGAATTTGGATCAAAGTATGCGGGAAAATTCAAGGCAAATTTTTATCTGATGAACTCATGGCAGAGAATCAAATTTCATAGAGCGCTCCAGATTCTCATATATTAAAAAAACATTCTATAACTTTACTGTGAAGAGAGTACTTTATTAGAACAAATAAAACATGCTGAGCTCTGCCGGGACACAGGGGTCATGCTAATGTGTGAGCCAAAGACTCTTTTCTTGCTTTAGAAAAGATAATCATCTGGAAATCACTAGCATCTGAGGTTGGCTTGATTTAAAATGCACACAGATATAGAAAGTTCCAGGAAATCACTGTATGTATAGCTTGCCTACCAGTGGAAAGACCCTTGCTGCTCCCCAGATAACACTTGGGACAGCGCTGTATCCTAGCACCTTCGTTAAAGCAAAGGCAAGGTTCTCATCTGCCCTTCCGTAGGCCCCTCTGTGGACATCCCTGACTTTACAGGGAGCCAGCGGAGCAGACAGGCCCCTCTGACACCTCACCAACCACACTCCCTGAGAGTTCCAGCCCCCAAAGCCCCAGAGCAGCCACCTGCAGGCGCCCTTGTCCTAACCCCACCACCAACCACCTAACCATCAGTCACATGAGAAAGCAGAGCCCCCTCAGCATGAAACCCTACAGGACACAGGCTCTTCGCCACAAGGATAAAACACAGGAAATTCTGACGAGACACTGATCACCCAGGTCTTTCACAGAACCGCAGAAGCATCTGAGGAAATGACAGACAGCAATCTTGTATACAAATTACCAGGATGCAGAGAACAAGACCCCAGCCACGCACTCAGTGGGCTGTCTGGGGCTGAAGCATTTTTATCCTCTTAGTACAATTTCATTATTCCTGATCCAGAGCAAGTGTGGGCAAGGTTCCAGGCACATGTGATAGCTATTTGCCTAGAACTGCTTTCCCTCCCCAGATTCCCACAGCAGTGTGTAGACCTTCCTGGGGTGGGAAACAGCCAGCTCTGCTCGTTTCCTGGGCTCACAAAGGCCTCTGTGGCAGACACCCATCCACTGACTCCAACAGGGAAGGGAAGGGCTGGGGTGCAGAGCTGGGGCACTTCACCTGGCACACTGGGCTGGAAGACTTTATTCAGATCCAAGGAGGAGGCTCTGGAATGGGTTTTCTGTGGCCGCGGTGGCGGGGTGGGTGGGTCCTCGCCTCTTTTCATGGCCTCTTCTATGGAGGTGCTAGAGTAAGATCTGCAGCAAAATAAGGGAAGGTCAGAAGGGAGACAGGAAAGCTTTACGCTCTGAAGTTGGGTTGAAATGGAAAATACCCACAAAAGTCAAAGCTACTGCAAGCAACCGTGGATTCTACTGTCCCCTACATGTCCCTATCTGCAATAACTGCCCAAACCCCCAGCCATGAATCAGAATCTTTTCTAACCTCTTTGCTTTTATTATACCTTAGACCTAAATTTACCCAAAAGGAAAAGCTTTCTGGAAATTCAAATCCGTTTCTATGGGAACTGTTAATAAGAATAGCATGTAAACCCTTCCGCTTAGGTACTTGCATATTTTAACGGAAGGGCTCCCTGGTATAAACTGATAGCACAATATTCCTCCTGTTTACATGCAAATGCGATGACAGGCACACATGGAGTTGGGACAGATAAGCTGAGAGTAAGAATCAAACGTTCAAGGGACTATTCCACAAATGACAAGTCAGAAGAGGAGAACACACATCAATCAGGTCATCTTACCATAAGAAATGCGGGTTTGGGGCAATTTTCAAACCCAAGGCCTCCTCTTAACCTCCTCCCTCAATCTGCGACAAGGCAGTAGCTACTTAGCCAATTTCTAAGATTCTAACTCCAATAATGACACTTAACGAAAAATGAACTACACAACTTGCCTAAGGTCACACAGCTAGGAAGTTACATAGGTTCGATTTGAACTCTGGTCTCTTTGCTTCTAAATACCATTTTTAAAATGTTCCAATACTGCCTATGAGCCAGGGAAGAAATGTTTTGGTGGTAGCGGCTAGACCATTTATTACAGGCTACTTATTTTCTGAGTTAATTCAACTCGTCTATTGCTTAGAAATAGGTTTGTGGAACAAGTTCCCAGTATGATTTGCTAAGAAGTGGATGTATGCATCTGTTCCATTCAACTTCTTGGCTAAGTGCGTGTCAAAGGAGAAAATGACCTTTGAGTCTGAATATGTCCGAGAGCCAAATTAACCTCAGAAAACTGTCTTTAGTATTTAGCTATTAGAGTGGCCCTTCTGAAATTAGAATCTATCCATTTCTATTCAGCAGCTTCAGTTCTTGCTAATGCTGGTTTTGACCACGAGTTTTCATTTTCCTGAATAATTCCTCAAGGTTTCTTGGTGGTAGTCGAGAGATTTGTCTGCCATGCAAGGTTGCAATCTTTAATAAAGCCACTGTAATGGCATGTGACGTGCTCTGGGGTGGTCCCTGTAACATAAGTGGTGAGACCGGGAAGGCAAAGGCATGTAGGAACTAGCAGGAAGAATGCTCCAACACTTTCAACCAGAATAAAAGGGAAGTGATAAGAAAGGACAACAAAGTTTTCAAATGGGAATGCTTGATTAAAAAAGGAAATTAGAGGCCCTAGCTAGAAATTTTAAAACTTTGTGTGCCAAATATAGCTTTAGTGACATTTTTCACTTAAGAAAGACAAAAGATTGTGTATGTATATCAATAATGTGTGGGCATATATACACACAGTTAAGCACACTATCCCATTCGACAGAGCTCATTCCATTTTATTTCCATATATAGCCTGTGTATTTATATTTTGGAAAGTTAACTGAATATCAAATAAGTGATACTGAAAAACTATGACTGCAACCAATTAAAATACAATTAGCAGGGAATCAACAAAATGACGAGTGCAGTAGTGTCAGAATGGTGGTTTTACCTCTTGCCCTTACATTTGTACAAAGCTGTATTATTATTCTAAAAAGGAGGATAAAAAATGAATTGATTCTCTTGGTCTCAATAAAGACCCAGTTGGGAGTAGTGAAAACATAAACATCCAAATTAGACCAGCAGACCAATCCCTAAAAGAATAAAATATAAAATTTAGCCAGTGATATTAGTAACAGAAAATGTGACTATGAGATTTTGTAATTTCACTCACTTTGGGAGAGACAGGAAGTCAGCAGAAGTGAAACCTGTGAGGTACAATTTACAGCTAGCATAGTGCACATAAGTAGATTTCTGCAATTCAAAGGTTTTTCCTACCATGAGGGCAGACGAATGTTTCTATACCTACATCCTAAAGCCAGTACAGACTAATGTGTAAAAGATCCACCATACTTTTTTTAAAAAGAGTAAATGTGATAACCATAGAGAGAAATAATGCCTATACCTTTCTTTCCTACCAAAATGAATTACTGTATCTGTTGATTTTAAAAATATGAATATAGACATTTGTACCTTCTATAAACAAGGAAACAAAACCCCAGTTTGGAAAATTCAGACATAAAAGATAAACTAAGAGACAAGATTTCCTTAAATGTCAGTATCTCAAGCCTATAGAATGTGATCAGATTTAAATTCACTTTTTCGGGAATGCGTCTAGTAGCAAAAGGAGGGACAAAGCCACTAAGAGCCAAAGCACAACCTGGAAAGGACACACAGTGTCCTGCCTTACACTGCAATCTACTGGTGACAAGCGGTCCCCATACCTTCTTCCCTCTTGATGGTCTATTAGTGTTTCTGTAATTTCTCCTCACTCCTCCCTTCTGATGTTTGATGCCAACCACAGATCTGCCTCACTGGATCTCCCTGCTCTGCTAGTCTCTAATGATTTCAAAACTGTGAAGCCGAGAAGAGAGGCTCTAAGGCAGGATGGAGCAGACCACAAGCACTGCTTACCCGAGGCGTCGCGCCTCACTGAAATCACCATATGCATGTTTGTTCCCTAGATTTTGTTCTCTAGATCGTACCCCCAACTTTGTACTTTCCGGCGTTCGCCTCACCAGGATAGTAAATATCAGTGACAGTTACCTTTTAACCGTATTTCCTTCTTTCCGAAGCTACTTCCCCCTATTCATTATCACCCTGCAACCACTGGGGCATGTCACACAAGCCACTTCTTCATGGCAGGTGACCAGAGAGCAGCAGCCACCATCTTTCAGACTGATAAACACAGAAGCTAAGAGTCTCCCCGGCAGCACCAGTTCGGCCCCCCATGACAAGTAAACTCACCCATATCCTAAGCTTCAAATCGAAAGGAAAAGGAGATTGTGGGTTGGGTGGGTTAGTTCTAGTCCGGGAGAGGGCACAAAGGGCATCAAAGCAGAAATGAAACAAACTCTACCTGGATCTCGGTCTTGCTTTGAGACTGCTGGAATCCTTAGGAGTGGCTGAAACAAAGATTAGTTGTTGTTTGCTTGGGTTTCATTTCTGCGGTTAAACAGGTTTATATGCTGCCCTTGGGCTAGTACAGAACACATCAACAGGTCAACAGGAGGTACAGGTGTCCACGTGGAGAGCTTGACCACTTCCACAGTTTCATGATTTTGTAATTTTATTTCTAAAGCTAGAGGCACAATGAAAAGGAGAGAAAAGCCAACATTTTCCTTTCATCAGAACAGTAAGAAGCCATTCTCAGATCGAGGTTGATTAATGAGGAAATTCCACTCTAGAAAGATAACCTTCTCATGGGGTTATCTGTTTATATAATGACGGGTTCAGACTTGAGGGTTTCTTGGTGTAGCATGATAGCCTAGTAAAAGATTTTGAACCCTTGAAGGCTAGGAAGAAATCCACTGGGCTACATGTGAAGGTTTTCTTAAAATACACTACCAGAGCAGCATGACCACAAGAAATCAGAGCTCCCACAAGGAAGTTGCAATGAGCTATGCAGCTTTTCCGAAAAGAAAATGTTCTTGTGTCCCCCTGTCTCAGTGACCAAGTTGTATAGAGGATACTATGGAGTGAAATCATTCAAATATTTTGTCAGCCATACAACTTTTCCTTCTCAAATTTCAGTCACAAACTAACTTGCTTACGAGCAATGCCCCTAACGCCTACTTTCCCATCACAACTTGTTGGGAGTAATTAGAAACATTTACAAAAACATTAATCCTCTTTCTATGTTTTCAATCTTCTATGGAAGACAAGTTTGGAAACCACTAGCTATGCTGAGGTTTTGCAAACACTGCAAAATTTTCACCATGAAATGTCATAAAAATTCATAGAAAAAGCACTGCTAACTAGGAACAAGGAGAATAGAGTATATATTGTTTGCACAAATCCTTCCAGAAAGAAAATGTCTCACTGCACCAGCCCCTCCTCTTTCACGTTGCTCCAAAGAGAAAACCCTCCTTGGTATGAAGCAGCCGGGATTTACGATGATCATTAAAATCCTTGGGCTAGATAAGCAGGGCGAAAGGGGAGCCGAAGTGCTAACAAGGCACAAAGCGAACTGGCAATAGACATGCCCTTCCATACGGTCGGCTGCCAAAACGAAGCATTTCTCCCAACCTAAGCATGTTGGCTTGTAGTAGTGAGAACACAGACATCTTTCAACTCAAAACCACTAAAAGGCTGCCAGTCCTGAAAAGCGTGGGCAGCCTGAAAACTCTGAGCCCCATCTTGGCCATTAGCATGGCAAACTACCTCTGCATCCTACAAACCACAGGTAGCAAAGGAAAGCTGCCTAAGGGGTGGCTCTCCTCCAGCCAAGCTGGCTGCCAGGGGGCTGGGTGGACAGTGTGGCCGGACTCACCACAGAGCTGGGGACCGCCCTCCCAGCAGGCTGCCCACAGGGGGCTCCGTGCCCCTGTTCTCCCTCAGGCCCCACTGCTTTCCAGCAAGATGTAGGTAGGAGAAGTCTCGGCCATGTGAAAATACTGTTCCCCAAACCAGACCGTGGTGACTGTTAATTCCTTTGTCAATTGCCATTATCTTTGTGTTTTGGCCAGGGGAGGACTGGGTGTGGAAGGCTGGGTGAGCCCTGCTGGTGAGAGATAGACAGATGGGGTGACGGGTGTGAAGGAGCAGTAGAGGCCAGGCCAGGAGCCCTGAGGCTTGGCTGCTCCCTCTGGCCACGACACTCACTAGCCTCTCAGAACCTGTTTGCTCACGTATGGAACGCAGAAAATAAAAATGTGGCCTGTTCCTCCCTCACAGGGAGAGATAAGAAGGTGAAGGTATTCTGAAAACTAAATGTACTTTAGAATTCCAAAACATTACTCACATAGGGGATCCTCATTTTTCAGGCTTAAAAATCTGGTTCCTAAATTTAGCTCCTCCTAGGACAGTAAAGAAGGTGCAGGTGGGAACAGGTAATGGAGGGAGAGAACTGCTGTACCCCATAAGACCACGTGGTGACAGCTGACAATTGGAGCAGCAGGTAGAATCACCAACGGCAGTGAGGGCGAACAGGCCTAATACACTCAGCATGACCTAGAGACATCAAGGAAAAGATCACCATTGTGCAGTGTGCTCTGTTGACTCAGGCTTGAACGTGATGTTAGCTAAGAAATCTATTAGACTCCACTAATATGGACACTTTCAGCAATTACAAAGGTAAGGGTATATGAAAAAATAGGTAACGAGGGAAACCCCCATTCCAATAACAAAGTCCCCTCCCATCTGTAACCCGCCACACCATCATCTTCATCACCATTATTACTGTCATCATTATTCCCGCCCACTGCAGAAGAACAAAGCAGGGAGGTGCTTCTTCTCCCACCTGCAAAAACATATCACAGGTAGGTCTGGGTAAGTCTCCACAGGTTTCCGATCCGAAAAAGCTGGAGAACACTATTCTAGTTAAGTCTTCCATCAGCCTCCAGCCCCTGAAAGTCAGGTTCAGCACTTGGAGCATGTGAGTATCTGCAAAAATGGCAAGGAATCCAGGCAGAAGCCAGTGGGCAGGTCATCGCTTCTCATTCAGCTGGGAAGAGGGAAGAAGGATGCCAGCTTCTTAGACTACTGCAGGCATGTCATCTTTCCAGGAAACAGAAACTGGGTAAGAGGGCAAGCCTGAAGTTTCATTCTCCAAAAGGCACTAACTCAACTGAGGTCACCTGCCCACATGGCACAGACGGCTATCGAGAATTATTGGGTCGTCGGGAAAGTCGTGACGTATTTTTCTATGTTTTTCAATGCAAAAATGCATCATGACTTCCCGACAACCCAATAGAAACCTCCACCTTGAAAGTCCAGTGTCTCCGGCTAGCAATCCAAACATTTCCCAGGAAAAGTGGCTTTAAACACGTTTTCAGCTGAGGGGTTCCCTCATATCCACTCCAGAAAGGGGCAGCAGTGGGAAGAACAAATCGGGAACCACATAGCATGCTCCCAGGCAGAATGTGAAAGCAATTCAGATGTACTTGGTGCATTGCGGAACACACCCTGATAGGTTCTGCCTGGGGACAGACACCATGCCCTACTCGATGAAGAAATGTGAACAGTGATGGCTAAAGCGCAGGCCCCAGAGAACTAGTGATGCTCATAGAAGAGTGATTAGCCACAAAGGCTGCTGGAGAAGCACCAATTTAACTCTAAATTTAACTGGCTTTTACCAATATCATCACATGAAGTTTACAAAAATGGGGATGTATCTACTTTAGCTCCAGAAATTAAGAGTTGGAAAGAACCTACCTCAGGCATTGGTCCTACACAAATAGTGTTTCCCTCTATCATGAAGCAGCCCGAATCAGTTTCAAAAGCCAAAACTAGGCTTGAAAATTCCTAACACTTTTGGAGTCATGGCTCATCTACAATTTTCTACTTCTTAACAGTGCCTTCTAGAGTGGTTACCAAAACAGGCATGAGAAGCACCTGTGGGGGGGGCGGTGCCTAAAAATACAGATTCTTAAGCCTCATCACTGCAATCAATCATATATTCTCTTTCATATTCATTCATATTCTCTCTCACTCTCACTGTTTCTCCCCCCCCCCGCTCCCTTCCTTCCTCTGCCCCCTCTCCTTCCTCTCCTTCTAACCCTCTTGTTTTAAACCTTGAATGAACTTACTGTTTGGGAAATATTATACTGTAGCATAAGCCTCAATGTTATATTGATTCCTTTGTTCCAACTTTAAACAAATAAGCCTGGGATGATAGCTAGCTAACCAAAACAAACATGATTTACTTATTAAATATTAGGAGAGAGAAAAAAGAAAGCAGCAACTTCTTTCATGTCCTCATAAGCAAAGCTCCAGATTGTAAGGCCTTCCCTAGCCAGTTTGTTTTTAACTAGGTTCATCTTGATTCTATGACGAGTCCACTGAGAGAGCTGAGGACACAGGCTCAGCCATGGACACGGTTCACAGATCCAGGTGCAACTCTCCAAGAACCAGGGCAGACACAACTTTGCGTTTTCTCCTTGGAATCCACTCCACGTATAACAACATTTACTTGCCTTCCTCATGATGAAGTATAATGAAAATATTTGACATTTTTTATTTGGAAATGGAAAATTTCAACTGTGGGCCTCCAACTGACCTACCCATCAACTCCTTACTCTACACAAAAATCACAATGGCTTGTTGAAATCCTCTCAACTCCAAGCCTTCTCAATTTTACACTTATTAACAATGAGACTCTCAATTCAAACTGAGTGATCCTTTCAGTGAAATCTAAATTGAGAATTGAAGAAGAATCACCCTCTTCTCATACCTGGAAAAAAGGAAGGGGTTAAAAAAAAAAGCAAAAAGGTTTCCTTGTAATAAAAAAGACAAATATTTAGAGAGAAACAAAAATAATATGAGGGATGTACCAATCTTGTACTCATTAAAACTAGTTTTTCTTTTCATTAGAATTACATACAAATATATTAAAATGGCTTTCTCCTACCTGGATCATCAGACACGTCCTTTGGCAAAGCTTCATCTGTAGTACTTTTCGAAGCTAGTAATTTTTGGTTTTAAAGAACAGAAAGAGAAGGGGGAGGGGGGGAGAGAAAACCGTAACATTTTATTTCTGTGGCACCATTACATTAAAACAAAGAAACTCTAGTCATAATTTACGAAAACGGTATTACAAACTTCTATAGGTTGCCATAGCACTTAGTAAAAGAACAAAGCCCTCAAGTATGGAAATAGGTTCTCCCAAGAGAAGAGAGTGGTATTTTCAACTTTCCAGAGACAGACTCTTTCATGGCTAGGAGTATTACCAGGAAATATCAGAAATTTCCCCCTTTCATTCTTGACATCCAGACCAATGACATCAGAATCTCTCTAGGGGCCGGCCGAGTGGCGCGTTGGTTAAGAGCTGGTTTGGGATGCCAGAGAGCCCCGGTTTAGATCCCACATATGAGGACCAGTGACACTGCCCTCTGCAGCTAGGATGCTGAGCAGCAGCTCAGCCTGGAGCTGGGATGCCATGAATCGGCAGGACAGCGTGAGCTGCAGCCCCTGTGGCAGTGGGTTGCCATGGGCTACCGTGTGTAGCCAGCAGCCAGCGTGAGCGGCCAGCAGCCGCAGTGAGCGGCCGTCCAGAAGCCGGCGACTGATCGGCCTCACCCGGAGGAGTGCAATGATGGTGCCAACTTGGGCCAGTGAAGCAATGTCTTCCACAGCTAGACTGAAGAACAAAAACGACAGCAGCTTGTCTGTTCCTCTTCCCCCAATTCGCCAGCGCTGTTCCCATCCCCCCAATTCCCCAATAAAAATCTTTAAAAAAAAAACACAAAAAACGAATCTCTCTAGGACCGAAACCCAGGCTTCAGTATTGCAGAGCTGGCCTGGTTGTTGCAATGTGCAGTCAAGGCTATGGTCTCCTAATAAAGAGAGTGGTCAGAGTACAGGCTGCTGCAGACAATGGCCAGTTCGGCCTGCCTCTCCTAAGCAAATATTTCAACAGATCACATGCAACTATTGTTTCCTAATGGAAAACTTATTTTTCATGTTTAACTGCAGTACAAAGATGCATCAATGGCAGGTCTCAACAATAAAACCTGAAATAGCTTCACTGGTTTTTAGTCCCTTCAGATAAGCTTCTCTCATTCATAGGTAGTGAATCAATATCAGATAATAGAAGGAATGTTGGCTTGAAATTTAGAAAATCTTGGTTCTTATCCCCACTCTTTCTTCCTAAGCAAACGATTCATACTGCCTGAACTTCAGTTTATACTTATCTCTAAATTTCAGGTGATAAACACAGCAGCCGCCATTCAGTTTTGTAAGGGCTGAGTAAGACAGTGTATGAAGGGGGACCTGGTAGATTGTAAAGCATTATACGGAAGGATGGAGTCGGGGGTTGGGGGGATGGGGAGCGTTCCTCCTGCTCTTCTAGATAGTCCCAGGTCACGTCATCTCTGTGCTTGGAACACTGTTCTGTACTGCCTTCATCCACCCAGGAAGACAGGCAAATTGCTGCTGGGCTCTACATCACACCCCCACACTTGATGCATAAAGCCCAGGGACAGGAACTGTCCAGAAGATACCTTCCTCATGGATTAGACCTGTGTATAAATGTGCATTTATATTGATATCCTGGGATCACATCTGCCAACGAAACATGGTAAGCTCTCAATTCTTTCAGCTTCCAGTCATTTCCTAGTCGGTATGACCAGATTCCAATGTAAGGTGTCAGGACAGCCTGAGGGTCAGCAGTAAGGAGCCAATGAGTTGGGGGGCTTTTGATACTCAAGACCTTGTTACCACTTCATGAAATATAGTCTGGGGACAACAATTTGAACTACTTAATCTATCCAAATGTGTTCATATACTGAGCACTGTCCTCATATGCTCTAGAAGCCAACCATTCCAAGAGAAGTGGATAAAGAAACATAGGCAGTATGTTCCAAAGAGAAAAAATTCATTCTTTTCATACCTTGTTTGTCATCACCAGTCACATCTTGGGTAGGAACAGGAAAGTCAGCCATGTCTTTAACAGACAGCTTCTTAAAAAAGAAGAGTAAATTAATTATACAGACTGGAATAGGTATTAAGTGATGTGCACATATGATGAAAATGTTTTAAAAGCTATATATCTTGCCTATATTTCTGTCTTCAGTAAACCCTGACATTTAATACTATTTCCTTTTTCTAGGTTCTTAGTGAGGTATGTTAATTTATATTGAAAAATTTATATGCACAGAGGAAAAAAATAACAATTCAGATGGAGACATATGTATAGACCACACATTACATCTGAATCCTGTGTTGGATCTGGCCAGTGAATCGTGTAGCATTTGCCCATTCAATCAAGAACAAACCTATACTTATGTACTTTTTCACAAGCAGGGAGGGGTTCTGACAAGAGGCCCCATAACGTGGGTGTTTGCCAGGGTCTGTTATGCAGAAGGCATTCAGCCTGCTTGTCATGGAATAAGAGAATTTTAATGATGAGCACAACAAAATTTTCTCCTAACTCACTTATGGAGAGAGTCTTCACTTATACTAATAAGGCATATACCCAAATTGATCGAGTACTGATTAGTTTAAAATTCTGTTGAAAATCTACCATAAATGTATTTCTTATAAAGTCTCAATTAACATGCTCGCCAAGGCTTCTGATAAGATTAAAGAATAATATATATTCATATAATACACACACACGCACATAAATTCTAGAAAGATAAAAATTGAAGGGTGACTGGGTAGACAGGGGAAAGGGACGGGGGGACTTGTCATATATGACTTTTTGGTATTCTTTTTATTTTAAACATATTCAAAAAATCAAATAAAGATAAATTTTAAAATGTAAGGGAAGCAGGAAAGTAGTTACCTGGTGCTCCAAACAGTTAATTGGTTTACCTCTTGGAATATGAACAACCCCAGAGAGATAAGCAATATTTCTGTTTCTAAAATGTTCCAAAGAATGGAGTTATAGTACTGCTTGGTTGGAACCAGATCTAGGATTTAACAAGCCTTTTTGGCATTACAATGAAGTATCTCGATGTACAAAATGAAATTTTTTTAAAGTTTAAAGAAATTTTTTAAAATCTAAATAAATAGGGTCAGCCGAGTGGCTCAATCGCTCAAGAGTGCGAGCTCTGAAGAACAGGGTCGCTGGTTCGATTTCCACATGGGCCCGAGCTGAGCTGCCATTGAGCTGCCAACAGGTGGCAGGATGGCTCAGCTAAAAAAATAAAATCTAAATAAATGGAAAGAGATCCCATGCTCATAGGTGAGAAGACTAAAGGTCGTTAAGATGGCAATACTCCCTAATTCATCTATAGTTTCAATGCAATCCTTGCTTTTCTGCAGAATTTGACTAGTTGGTCCTAAATTTCATATGAAAATGCAAGGGAGGCCCGGTCAAGTGGTGCATTGGTTAAGAGTAGGCTTGGGGCACCAGCTCTGAGCAGCTGGGCCCTGGTTCAGATCCCGCATTAGGGCCAATGACACTGTGCCCTCTACAGCTAAGATGGTGAACAACAGCTCGACCTGGAGCTGGGCTGCCGTGAGTCGCCAGGACGGCTTAGGCTGCAGTGGGGCTGGCCGGCAGCTAGCGTGAGCTTTCGTGAGCTGCCGTGAGCAGCCGTCCAATGGCCAGTGAACGACTGCCTCACCCAGGAAGAGCACAATGATAATACCAACATGGGCCAGTGAAGCGACATCCTCCACAACTAGACTGAAGAACAAAAGGACAGCAACTTGTCTGTTCCCTTTCCCCAATTCCGCAATGCTGTTCCCCTTCCCCAATTCCCCAATAAAATCTTTTAAAAGAAAAGAAAATGCAAGGGACCCAGAATAATGAAAATATTCTTGGAAAAGAAGAACGAAGTTGAAGGACTCACACTTTCTGATTTCAAAACTTACTGCAAAGTTACAGTAATCACAACAGTGTTGTACTAGTATAATGACATATAGATCGATGGGATAGAATTGAAAGACCATAAATAAGCCCTTAATGTATGGTCAATGATCGTCGACAATGGTGCAAAACAATTCAATGAGGAAAAAAATGGTTTTTCAATAAATGATGCTAAGATAACTAAATATCCACTACAAAAGAATGAAGTTGGATCTCTTCCTCACAGCATACACAAAAATTAACTCAAAATGCATCAAAGACCTAAATGTAAGACATAAAACTCTTACAAGAAAACACAGGAGTAAATCTTCAGGACCTTATATTAGGTAATTGTTTCTTAGACATGACACCAAAAGCACAAGCAACAAAGAGAAAAAATGGATAAACTGAACTTCACCAAAATAAACATTTGTGTTGCAAAGGACACTCTCAAGAAAGGGAAAAGAAAAACAAAAGAAGGAGCAAATATCTGCAAATTATTTACCTAATAAGGGACTTATTTCGGGAATATATAAAGAACACTTACAACTCAACAGCCCAATTTATAAACAGACAAAGGATCTAAACAGACATTTCACCAAAGAAGATACACAAATGGCTATAAGCACATGAAAAAATGTTCAACATCATTAGTCATTAGGAAATTTAAATCAAAACTGTGAGATACCACTTCATTCCCACTAGGATGGCTAAAATCAAAACGACAGACAACAGGTGTTTACAAGGGTGGGAGAAACTGGAACCCTCATATTGCTGGTGGAGGAATATAAAATGGTGCAGCTGCTTTGCAAAGCAGTCTGGTAGTTCCTCTAAAAGTTAAACACAAGCTATAATATCACGCAACAATTCCACAACTAGATATATACCTAAGAAAATTGAAAACATCTTCACACAAAAACTTGTACATCAATGTTCATAGCAGCATTTTTTTTCTAACAGCCCTAAACGTCCAACCAACTGAAGCAAGGACAAAATATGGCACATCCATACAATGGAATACTATTCAGCAATTAAAAGAAATGAGGCACTGACACAGGCTACACCATGGATGAACTTTAAAACATTATACGAAGTGAAAGAAGCTGGTCACAAAAGACCACATATGATCTGATTCTATTTCTATGAAATGTTCAAAATAGGCAAATTCAGAGACAGAAAACAGATTAGTGACTGACTACCAGAGGCTGGGGAGAGGGGCACATAGTGAACCACTGTTGATAAGTACAGGCTTTCTTTTGGGAGCAATAAAAATGTTCTAAAATTAGACTATAGTGATGGTTGCACAACTCAATATACTAAAAACCACTGACTTGTATACTTTAGATGAGTATGGTATATGAATTATATCTCAGTAAAGCTGTTTCCAAAAGAAAGAAATCTAGTACTCTAAGAAGCACTGTTTAAGGAGTATACCTGAAATTAGAATTTTTAATTCTTGACGAAACATGGTTACAACTCTGCTGCCTTTAGAAAAGGATGTACTGCTGAGCAAACTTCTCATGACCTGGAGCAGCTACAGCTTCACTGACAATACAAACACCTATAGGAGTCATCCCTCACAGGGCTGGTACCAAGATCTATTGGGTTGTCGGGAAAGTCATGATGCATTTTTGCATTGAAAAACATAGAAAAATACGTCAGGACTTTCTCGACGACCCAATATTTAAACTCCATGCATGCGTTCATGAGAGATCAACAGGTTGGCAGAAAGAAAAACGAATAAAATAGTTTAGAAGAACATGAAATATTTAATCATTAGCTATTAAAATCTTACCTATACTGTTTGAGTGGCCAAACCATCTATTAACCTTATTATTTCACCCCTGAATTTTGTTTATTACATCATTATCTAAAAGCACTACACCCCACAAAATAAGTTTTGTAGGGCAAGATTTTTTGTTGTTCTTTTGATTTCTCGTTTGTACAAGGCAAAGCAAAGACTAAGTAGCTTTTAACCTGCCCCCTCAAAGGAGCCAGCTAAAGGATACAAAAACATATAAAACTAGCTGCACATAGGTTGGTCCGCGTGTGTAGGTAATTAATTTCTCCAAAAACAAACAAAAACAAACAGCATTATTTGTTTCTGTTGGAAGGGCAAAGGCTATCTGATATCATAGCAAATTGGAACAAAACATTTATCTAGAAAGAAGAATTTGATTTTTTTTTTTAGTAAATTACCTAACGACCTCAAAATTTTGCACAAGCATAGCAAAATAGGGACCCATAGCAAAAAACAAAACAAAACCAGGGCAACTACATGAGAGAGTTATGGAGGTGACTGGCCTGAAAGACAAACCTCTCCAGACACTGCCAGCAGCCCAAGAGTAGACTGAGGGCCATCAAAAGTGGCTAAATATTGTATCTGTTTCTCCATCACATGCATTCCACAGAAAAAGATATTTAAAAAGCCAAAACTCCAAAAGCACATCTATCATCACTCCTCCTGAAATCACTTTTCTTTACATCTTTTTCCTATGAGTAGAAATGTTGAGGAGGGTAACCTGGAGGCTACGACTCAAAGAAAGAGTAGCAGAAAGGTCAACAGTGATGTTATCAGAGGGAGCACTGCAGAAGCAGGCTTGATTCACTCACAGAGGAGCCAGGATGTCATCTACAACACAGACTATAGACATGAGAGCTCCATGGGAAAGAGTAAATAATCACACACAGTTACGTGATATTAAAGAAATGGCCCTGACCTCAAGGGGTAAAAAGTATAACTATTGCACTGTGTTATACAGCTGTAACTAATTCTAAAAAATGTGTATTTCACAATAAAAAATAATTTTAAAAAATTATGAGACAAGCAGGGAAACTCAAAAAAAAAAAAAAGAAAGAAATGGCCCTGTATCCTGCCTTGGACTTCTATTATCTTGTAATGGTTTTAACTAGGGTCAGAGCACTATAACAGGAGTCTACGAATAAACCTCCATTTATTAAACATTTTCAGATTTTGTAGGACAGGAACAGCAGATATTATGTTGTCACCATAGCGATGATGAATGATGATGATGATGATGGTGACTGTGCTGAAATTAACAATAACCATAACAACTCCTATTTATTGATGCATACCGAAGGCCCACCGGGCACGTGGCTAAGCCGCTACATCAATGGCCCACCATGGTGGGAATTCTCCGGGTTTCTCTTGGGAATCACCCAACTCAGTCTTCATTTGGTCCAAATGCTAAGAATCCTGAGGGAGAAGGCAGCTTGGAAAGCAGTTTGGGGCCCTCATATACGCATATAATTCTCAAACCTCCTCTCAAAACTGTTCTGCTTCATTATACCTTGTTAATACTCAGCTACTAAAAATACAACTTTTACAATGTTTACCTCGGAACAAAAGCTTGATTAAAGTAAATAACTTGGTGAGCATGTTTCTGGCTTAGTTTGGCTATACCTCAATTTCACCTCTATAAAGTCAAAAGACTACTTGTTTTCCCAAATCTAGTTATAGGGAGAAAAACATAGATAGAGATCTAGCTGGTGTCTAGATTTGAAAGGCTGAGCCTCAAAGTACTAAGTATGAAGAGAATGTCATACAAGTGGATTTTACACAGTTTATAAAGAACATAGGCTAACAGATTTAATTCTACACACATCCTTAACTCATTATCATATGAAAATTTTTACCTCCATCCGGTTCAAGTCAGGGGGTTGTTGGTTTGCTGGCATTGACTCGGAATAAGAATCAAATAAAGCACACTCCCGCTTGGGCTTGGGAAAAGCTAAGAAGAAACAAAAGGAAAACATAACAATACATATTATAGTCACAGCAGGCACTATTTCCTATCAGCTTTTCTGTGCTTGTTAAATATAACAACACAATCAGCGAATTCCTATATACTCGTTATGGCACTAATCACATTGAGGTAGAATTTTAAGTTCTTTATACAGGCAACTTGGAACTTCTGTCATCCCCATATTACACATGATGAAACTGAGGAAACGTGAAGTTTGACTCAAGGTCATATAGCTGATAAATGGAAGAGCAGGGACTTAAGCTGCCAACAGTCCTGTTAACATAGCAGTCATTTTCCACATTAACCATCACTATCACAATACTTAAGTTTTAACGATGCTACTAGCATAATTTTTAAATGGTAGTAGCTATGTGATAGTTTTAATCCTATAAACATTAAGTAAGGGAATACTTCATCTTAGCTGTTGTTGTTGGAAACAGACAAGATCTTATAATGAATGCTATGTGCCCACGAAAACTTTATGGAGTACTCATTCCTTTTGGTTAGCAAGAATAACAAAAGTAAGAGCACAAGTTCTTGCTGATTTACAAGAGAGGAAATAAAAATCACCTTACAGGTTTCTTCTAACAGAACAGTGACAGGAGGTATCAGTTGAGTCGCTGGGTGGCTCAGCATAAGGAAAAATCATGCTACTTGGTCAGCTAATACTTAACACTCACGCTATTTCTTAGAAGTGGGTTGTTTCATTGATACCGTGCTAAGGTCCGGCTGCCCGCCGCTTGCAAATGTTAAAAATCAAGAGACATGGTTGGTGGCAAGAAAAGCAGGTTTGTTCAGAATGCCGGCATTCTGGGAGGATGGGGACTCCTGTCCAAAGGCCACCTCCCCGGTTCTAGCTAGACCCGGTCAGAAGGTTTTACAGGAACATAAGCAGCAGCAGAACAAAGGAAAGGGGGAGTTGGTCAGGCAGCTCTGAAGGCTGACATCCCTCCTGGGGGCTGGTCTGTTGTAAGATAACGTTATCTCTGGACTCCTGCCTGGGGCTTTATGTGTATTCCAGCTTCTGGGCTCCTGAGGATTAAGAAATTGCCCTTTCCAGGTTAGGATTCTGTTAATTAAATGGATTAATGAGGTATGGGTAGCCTTGAAAAAGGGAACAAAACAGAGTTCTTCAGTTAATCAGTGAGGGGAGAAACAAAGAGGAAACAGCTGAATATCAGGGGGGATCAAACTGCAAACTAGCTAAGTTTAATTATGTTACTGATTTCCAAATTTCCCCCTTACATCACCACTTTGTCAAAAATTAAGAAAAAAAATGTCTCAACAACTAGACAATTTGTCGATATTCCAAAGAGGAAAAGCAGATTGGGGTAGACAATAAACAGATGCTACAAATCAAACTTGTCAATACCAGCTATTAAGAAATCAAAATGTGGGCCGGCTGAATGGCGCGGTGGTTAAAGAGCTGCCTTGGGACGCCAGGGGGCCCCTGCTCAGATCCCACATGTGAGGGCCAGTGACATTGCCCTCTACAGCTAAGATGCTGAAACAACAGCTCAACCTGGAGCTGGGCTGCCTTAAGTCGCCGGCGATGGCGTAGGCTGCAGCCCCTGTGGCAGTGGGTTGCCATGGGCTACCGTGTGTAGCCAGCAGCCAGCGTGAGCGGCCAGCAGCAGCCGTGAGCGGCCATCCAGAAGCCGGCGACTGATCTGCCTCGACCAGGAAGAGCGCAATGATGGTGCCAACTTGGGCCAGTGAAGCAATGTCCTCCACAACTAGACTGAAGAACAAAATGACAGCAACTTGTCTGTTCCCCTTCCCCCAATTCCCCAGCGCTGTTCCCATCCCCCAATTCCCCAATAAAAATCTTTAAAAAAAAAAGGAATCAAAATGTTAATGTCATGTGTGATATTGTGATAATAAGAAATAGATATTTGGTCTTTGTCCCCATTTCTGGCACACAGCTCCCAGACCACTTAGAATTTCCTGAGTGATGAGAGCAAAAATGTTGTCTCGTTATGTTAATTAGGTGACTTTTGAAACCCACAGAAGAGTCAGGGCACAGTTGCCAGTAGGAGCCAGCCATGTGGTTAGAGGATTGGAACTTTCAGCCCCAGCCTCTGATTTCTGGAAAGGGGAGAGGGGCTTGAGGTAGAATCAGTCACAAACGGCCAATGACTTAGTCAACCATGACTATGTAATGAAGCCTCCATAAAAACCCAGAAGAATAGCTTGCTGGTCCCTTTTTGGAGAGCTTCCATGTTGGGGAACCAGAGTGCTTCCATGAGCCTCTGTGCTGGGCTCCAAGCTCCACAAGCACAAAAGCTCATTCAGTCAGGAATTCACTTTGTGTCTCTTCATCCCTTTAATATCCTTTATAGTAAATCAGTAACCTAGTGAGAAAATGGGCTTTCCTGAGTTCTGTGAGCCGTTGTAGCAAATTAATCAAACCCAAGGAGAAGGTCATGGGAATCTCTGATTTATAGCCAGTTGGTCAGAAGCAAAGGTAACAACCTGTATTTGCAACTGGCATCTGAAGTGGATGGCAGTCTTGTGGGGCTGAGCCCATTACCTGTGAAATCCAATTCTATTGCATGTCCGAGTAGACAGTGTCAGAATTGAGTTGAATTCTCAGCTACCCTGCTGGTGTCTTGAGAGCATGTTGGTGTGGGGAAGCCTGCCTACACACACCTACACACCTACACGCACCATTGAAATTGGGTCCAAGAACTCTTTTGGGTCCAAGAACTCTTTCCACCATGTTTTTAAAAAATTTGTAATCAAGTGTTAAAAATGGATTGGTGTCATTTTTAATCTTTTCTCACCCTCCCACACCTACCAGGGTTTGAAATGCCAACTTCCCTCTGCATAAAGTACTGGCCACTGAGTAACAGCTACAATAGACAGCTGAGTACAAGCACCTTAAATTGTTCATTTGCTTACTCTGGTCAAAATTTCACTGATATCGGGTGGAGCAAACCATGGGCCCTGGTAATTTTTCTGACTATACCAGGTGGTCTCACTCAGGTACAACAATTCTAGTTTCATTATTTTATTGAAAACAAGATTATACAGCTGTGAATACATGATGGTATCAACCAAATTTATACTCTTCATCAACCTTGCAGAAAACTGGATTAGTTTTAAAAGACTAAATATAGATCAATTAGAAAAATGTTGGAACAAGAACTAAGTTTTTTTAAAAAACAGAATACCATAAAAATGAACCCCCCAAATCAAGAGGACCACTCATATTTCAAAGTCTAAAAACAGTGAGAAGACCTAAACGGTTCTGGCCATTTTCTTGAGCTGTACACAAAGATAAACATGAGTGCTAAAGCATTAGGTTAACAGCTAAACCCTCGGGGTTTGCCTAAAATATACTGCCACTGAGTGTGATAGGGTTTTATGAGGTCTCTCATGTTTTTGTTAGAACTACATAAATATTATTTAAGATTAATCCCACAAGCTCTGGAAATGATGTGTAATTTTTGTTTAATTGAAGGGTATGTGATGGATTCCTCAGTTGTTTCTGTATAAATGCATGCTGACAGCCTCCACAGAAGACCAGGAAGAAATAAGGGGCTTCATTCCAAACGAAGGGAGATGCCTCTTGGCTGGCACTCTGTTTTATAGACTTCGCTCTACTGCATAAGCAAGGCAAAAGCAGCCATTTGCAGCAGTAAAGAAATCAAGAGGCTATCTCTCCTGTTCACACTTTTTTCTCAGGGCTTTCAGATCTGTGATATTTTTACCAGTGACTTTTGAAACAGTCCATGAAACACTTGGACACCTACAAAGTGACTTCTCAAACAAAGACTCATGACACCTGGCATAGGTTCCATGGCCGTACTGCATCAGAGCAATAAAACCGTGCCAATCAAGATGCAGAAACGAAAAGCTACATGTGGGCCGTGGGCACGGGAGATGAGTTTATGCAGGACTCCCCAGGGCTTGCAAGAGGAAACAGTAAACAGTATTATATAGAAGTAAATAGCCCCAGAGCAGACCTTGGTCCTTTGGTCAGCTGTTTATTCCCATTAGAGAGACATAAAGCCCCACGTGGCCCCACTCCCAGAAGGGGTTCCTGGATAACCCTGCACTGACTTGGTTATGGGACCCATGCAGTCACCGAGATAGCCCCAGGAATGTTGGTGATTCTTTGGCGTGATGGGAAGGGATGGGAAGGGGAGATGGATGGAGAGATAAACACCAAAGAGGAAACAAGCAGTCTGTCATGCTGCCCAATTGCAAACTAGTTCCTGGAGACCCATGAGGGTCTCCCCGAACCTGCAAGGAAGGATAGCAGGCTGGAGTTACAGCCTGCTGTAGTTAGAAAACTGCTGCTATTAGCGAAGTCCAAGCTCTGAAATGAGTAGTTTCTGGTCTCTGAACCTTCCCCTTCATACATTTTATGGGGATATTTGGAGAAGATCCCAGAAGGGGTCACTCTTCCTCAAACACGTTTACCTGTCACTGGCACCAGCCACATACTTGGTCTCTTCCCTTCAAGTCTCAGCTCAACTTCCTCCACCCCCTCACTACCTAATACAGAAAATAACAAACTTTTTATCTAAGAGTCAGAGACCCCAAGACTGGCTTAGGTAAGCCAGTGGCCACTTCGAACCTGGTGTTGTTATGAGGAGGGGACAAGACAAGATAATCTAAGGCCTTTTCCAGACTCAACCACACAATTTATACTCTATTAATGACTAATCACATTTTCTTTTCACACTGTACCCTCTCATCAATAATCATCCATGACTAAATGCTCTTGCTTTTAAGAGACCTTTCTGAAAATGTGAGAAAGGTTGCTGAAAGCACCAGCTGTTTCTGGATCCTTTCAGTGGAAGTGACACTTCTGAATAATAGAAATCAGACCACTGCCTACTGCCTCTGGAAAGGGCAAGAGACATTGTTCATGTGTCCTGTCTTTCAAAGGAATTGATCCAAATGTTGGGCTTACCGTGACTCTTCCCTATCCAATAGGTTTGTGAGATAACTGTTTCACTAAGGAGATGGACAAAAAGAGTTCTATTCCAACCTTCCGGAGTGCTGGAACAGTCTATGTCTTGATCTGATTGCAGCTGCATGGGTGTATATGTATGTAAAACTTCAAGTGTATATTTAAGATTACAGCACTTTGCATATTTCACTGCATGTGATTTTTAAACTTTTTCCTTAGGTATAAGAGTTCTATTTTATTTCATCACCCAAGGCCACTTGGAGGCAGTGGGACGTGCCCAAAGACACCAAGCCAGCACCTGGCTGTACAGGAAGTTCCTCCTTCTCATTTTATATCTGCCAGGAGATTCAGTACTTGCCTACGCCACAATTTTCACGAAAGGGTAAGTGACTTCGGTTCAAATCCATCCAGAGAGTGCTATTATAGAATGAGAATAACAGATGACTCACATCCAGATCATCCCTGTTACTCATAAGATGTGAAAAAGCCTAATATTGGTTAAAGGACAATAACTGTAGATACAAAGGACTCCCCAAAGTGTCTGGACACCACTTAAGAAATAACAGTTTCTTGTAAGGCCTGGATGGAAGATGACTACAGTTTAGGATTTATGATGAGGCCTTACCTGCTTGCAGGTACTCGGGCTGCAGAGTTGGAGGGAGGCTCTCGGGCAGTGGGTAGCCGTTTTTCCGGGCCACAATGAGATGAAATGCAGCACAGAATTCAGGTAGAGTTAGGGCTCCATCGCAGTCAGCATCACTGAGCTCCCTAAATATAATAGATGTCATGGGTACCGAGCACAGGGCACAGAGAAAAATTTACTCAGCCTCAAACATGCAAACACAATTCCCAGGCTCTCTGGTGGTGGCCCTGCAGGGTCCCCAAGCCCATATGAAATCTCAGGGGGCTACTAGGAGGAAGAAAATGCTTGACTGACAGCACTGGCATCAGTAGCACTTTATAAATAAAAATTTAAACTCTTCAGCTTCTCCTGTAGGTCTGGTTTACAATGCTGAGTACACAAGGCAAACAACTACAGCACAAAAAGTAAAATGATGCCCAGGATTCCAGTTAGTTGACAGTTATTCAGTAATGCGTGCTATGAAGAGCTCCAGGCTTGGTGCTCCAAACAGTCAGAGGAAGGGCTGGCCCCAGCCCTTTCACAGTTGGCCTGGCAATTATACAGTTCCCAGCGCTCCGAAATAAGCGCTTCGTTTTTCAGCTTTAAGGAAGAGCCTTGAACTTTTCAAGTCGAATAAATGTTGTATCAAAAATTTGCTTGAGAATTCCCTCCTGGGAAAATATAAGTAAGCTCAATAAATACTGGTTGAATTATGTTTTCAGATAAAACTAGCAACTAGGGAAGGCTGGAACCAGATAAGACAGAAAGGAAGAAAGGGAGAGTCTTGAAAAGGCTTATCTTCGCTTCAGTCATTGTTTCCCACTGAAAGGCACAGACCTATTTACTCAGCACAAAAGAAACCTATTTGCCAAAGTAACTAAGACCCTATAAGCTCAACCAGTCTCTTAGGTATACAGAGACAAGTATACTTGTGTTAGGACAAGTAGAGAGATAAGACATATAAAATTGTACTAAAAAGGTGTTGCTACTTGAAAGAAAAAAATATCAAAGGTAAGCTCCGTTATTTTCCTTTGGACCATTCACATCCTCCTCCCCCTCAAATATTCAGGCTGCACCAGCTCTGAAATAGCAGCTCCCCAGGGTGAAAAACCGGGGAACTGCCTCCAATGCTGGATGGCGCGAGTACCATTCAGCTTTCATGGCTATGTTTCGACAAAAAGATCGGAAGCCTCATGCCGATTATGGTAAGGCTGGGAATTCTGCCAAAACAGGTTGTATTCTTTTGAAAATGATAATTTCTCTTTTTTCCCCTAGCTTTAAAATCTACTATAAGGCTTGTTAAAAAATGATGCTAGACTATATTGCTGAAGACTAAATCCAGCTAAGAATCCCAGGGGCATTGGCATGCACAAGGATTATCGCGATAGTCTTCCAATAAAATGCACAAAACATGACAAGCAATTGTAAATGCTATCATAATTTTTGTAAATCCTCATGAAAAAAAGTGTTACATAAATATTCCAGTGTTTTAATTATATATTTATAGCAGCACGGTCTCCCACCCAGTCGTGAGGAAGAACAGCCCACATGCAGCCGGGGGTTTATGGAGGCGCCGAACATTTCCAGAAACGCAAACTGAGCCATCTGGAGCCAGGGCGGCGGCCTGCTAGCAGCAAGGTGCTGTGCACACCACAGAGGCACGTCGGAATTAGGGCCCAGCTGATAAACACCAAGCAAACTGACGGAGCTCAGAGGCAGCTACAATAATCAAATTGAACTTAATTCCAAAACATTTCTGGATCTTCTGTTCACCTGGCCTCATCAAATATTATAAAGAATAGCTTTTCAAGATCCTCTGGTTACTTGCATCACAAGTAAAAAAATCTGAAAATAAAATACGCAAGGTGGAAATTCTCATATGCCCACACAATTGCTTGGGCTGAAATGGGATCTAGATGAGGATAACAAAGAAGTTACTTTTTAAATAATAGCTAACATACATAGTGTGAAGTATGTGCCAGACACCATTCACTGGCCTTTTCATATAATAACTTATTTAATCTTCACAGCAACAAAAATCTAAATTGTTTACTCTCTTGACCTGTTAAAAAAAATCATTCAAAAGGTAAGACTTTTAAAATGCACCAGTAGAAGCTAACGGATGAATATGAATGACAGAATCACACTACGTGGCATTAATTGTACTTACCATATATAGGAGAGTTCTGGAATGGAAAGCTTTGATTTGGTGAAGAAGTTCTTGGCCACTGAACCTGTCAAGAACCAGTGTTTACATAAATCATTAATTACTTATCTAGAACAGCTTTTATATTTAATGTCAGTGAATCACCATTTTTTTCATTCAGCAATCCCTCCCATACAACAACAAACACATTTATTAATTAAAGCAACTACGAATCATGGGGCTAAAAACAACACATGAACAGCTTTTAAAAGAAAATGTAAATTAGAATAGGGCAAAAGAAGCAATGGCATACGTATGACATGCGAATTACATGAACTAATTCCTGCTTCGTTTTTACTGAAAATCTGCAAAATTTTACTAAAAATTCAAAAGAGAAATTTCAAAATTATTAATGTCAAAATCTGTCAAGCATTTTTAATGAGAAGTAGTGCACAATCATGGTAGAAAACAGAACAAAAAGAAGAACATTAATGCTATTCATCTCATCATACAGAGATAAGACAGGCATCTTAGGAAAGAGTCCTGGTGAGATTTAAGATCTTTAGTGTCTCTTGGAGCATCTTATCCAGGAACCTCCTGCTACTTCCTTTATTCACTAAATTTACCAATACCGATTGGAGTCAGGTACTCGTTCTATTTTACATGTTGCATAGCTGCAAGTCCCAACTGCACTTAAAATGTGAGGCTCAATCATTATTGAGATTGAAATTTTTATGCTTTCAGTTCTCTAAACAGTCTCACAGTTCAAAAGCCTCAATTCTAACACAAAAAATAGTCAAATCAAAGCCCCAAGCTCTATTTTAAGCTAATAAAGTCAATAGTCATTTTATGGCAATTATAAGTCTTCTAACTGGCCTTAAAACAATGAATTATAATGGACCTTAAAGCAAACTTCCTTTGATACATTATTAAGGAACAAACCCTATAAACCAATGATCTTCTCCCCAGAAGCATCCTGGAAATAATGCTGACATATAACTAACCATTGGCCATCAATGTAACAACTGTGTCAAACATTTGATAAAAATGTCTTGAAAGCCTATTGTCCAGCTATTTTATAGACATAAAGACAGTCTCCCCTCAAGTTGTTCTTCTTTTCCCCCCTTGATATCCTTTCTTCCAATCACACGAGGCCCAAACCCACAGCTAGAGACCTGGCCTGGCCTATAGACAGAGAATGCTGTACCATGGTGTCCCAGAGGGGTTAGGTGGAGCCCACAGGGAAGCCGACAGCTAACAAGTTCAGCTGTGCCCTGGCTGCCAGCTGCCAGAAGCAGCAGCGAAATGAGACAGCCAAGTGCTCCCTCCTTTGGTGCTGATGGAAGTTCAAACCCTGAGCTGAGCCGCAGCCCCACCTGCAAACACTGTAGGAACCCCAAGCCAGCCTCCTTTCCTTGTTCCTTCTCTTCAACCTTTTTCAGACCTGCTGAGGAGCCACATGAGGGGAGAGCAAGGGGAAGAGGGAAGGCTTAAAAACTTGCAGCAAACATCGAAACACAGGTTCAGACTTGTTACTACAAGGAGTCTCTCAGCCCAGTAAACTACAGCTCCACACAGCGCTGATATATCAGGGATAAAAGGGTGGTAGCACATCAAGTATATAGAGATATTTTTAAAAAAATAAAGACCAGTAACCCAGTATAAAAATGGGTAGAGCTATGACAGTTCACAGAAATCGATGCAACTGACTCATTCATATTAAAAAAAAAAGTTTCAACCTTGTTCATAAGAGATCTATAAATTAAAACCACTCAAAGATATGATTTTCTGTCTATCAGATGTGGGGGAGATACAGAAGCTAATTAACATGTTCTGCTAACAAGACTGTAGGGGCAATAGGCATCTCCTACAATCCTGGTGGGATGACAAAATTGCACAACGCCAATAAAGGAAGGGGCTTTTTGTATTATTTCCCCAAGTCACATTATCCAAAGATACACTGACAAAAATATAAAAAGACATGCAGAAGACTATTCACAGCAGAAATATTTGTAACAGCAAAAGACTAGAAATAATTCTAACAAGGACAGGCTGAATAAATGTTTGCACATTCACACAATCTAGCAGTACACAGCTATAAAAAGTAATGGGAAATATCTCTACATGCAACTATGGCATATCACCATGATATGCTGTTAAGTGACAAAAGCAAGGTGTAGAAAAGTATAAATAGCATGCTACCATTTTTATAAGAAAAGATGGAGATAAGAATACACACACATATATACACACATACATGTATTTGCTTTTATTTTTAAAAACAGACAGATAAATCATTAAAAAGGCGATTACCAGATTACCTCGGCACAGAAAAAACAGGGTAGAAGGCATAGGGATAAAAGCTAGACTTCTTTGTAAATTGTTTTGTAAATCTGACTTTAGAACAATGTAAATATTTTATATAAATATAAAATTCAAGTTTAAAAACACTAACCCTAGAAACTGAAATCAAAACAAATAAAACTGAAAAGAACCAAGTTGAAGAATTCCCACTTCCAGATTTCAAAACTTACTACAATAATCAAGACAGTGTGGCACTGGCATTAGGCTACACATATAGATCAGCGCAATAAAATTAACATCCAGAAATCAACCCTCACATTTACGTCAACTGAATTTTGACAGCAAAGCTAAACCAATTAAACGGGGCAAAGAATAGTTTTTTCAAAAAAATGGCTTTGAGACAACTGGATATACACATGCAAAAGAATAAATTTGAAGGGACAAGACAACACAAACTGGTAACTACAGTATTGCCACAAAAATACGAAAGACAGTTTGGAGAGTATAATCAATAACCTTATAAATACTTTTAGGGGGTCAGATGGACTCATGTCATGTTAGGGAGACCACTTCATGGACAGTGTAGAGGCCTGACCACTGCACTGTACATCTGAAGCTGCCGTTGTATAATATTATATGTCAACTATAATTGAATACATATATAGTCACGGGATGTGGAGTATAGTGTGGGAGTGGAGTCAATGGAATTGTAATAGATATGTATGACATCGGGGAGGGGGCAGTTCTTTGAGGGAGGGGGGTGTCACTTTGTGAGGGGTGAAAAGTATAACTATTGCATAGTTTTGTACACCTAAAACTAAATAAAATTTAAAAATTAAAAAATAATTTAAAAAAGAATAAATTTGAACCCCTGCCTCATACAATACACAAAAATTAACTGAAAATGGATCAAAGACCTAAATGTAAGAGATAAAACTGTAATACAGATTCCTTCTTACAAGAAAATACAGAGGCAAATTTTCATGCCCTTGGATTAGGCAATACTATCTTAGATATGACACCAAAAGAACAAAGAAGAAAGGAAAAAATAGATAAACTGGACATCATCAAAATTAAAACCTTTTGTGCTTCAAAAGACACCATTAGGAAAATAAAAAGACAAGCCACAAACTGGGAAAAAATATTTGCAAATCATATATCTGATAAGGAACTTGTATCTAGAATACATAAAAAACTCTTACCTCCCAATAATTTTTTTTTTAAAGGCAAAGTACTTGAATAGACATTTCTCCAAAGATATACAAATGGCAAATAAGAACATGGAAAGATGCTGAATGTCATTAATCATCTGGGAAATGCTAATCATAACCACAAAGAGATACCATTTCACACCAACTAGGACAGCTAGAATCAAAAGACAATCTATAAGCAATTGGACCATTCATACACTGCTGGTGGGAATGTAAAATGGTGCAGCCACTTTGGAAAACAGTCTGACTGGTCCTCAAATGGTTAAACATTGTGTTACCATATGATCCAGCAATTCCACTCCTAGGTATATATCCAAGAGAAATAAAAACATATACCTACACAAAAACTTGCACACAAATGTTCATAGCAGCCTTATTCTTAATTGCCAAAAAGTGAAAAAACCCAAATGCCTATCAACTGATGAACAGATAAATAAAACTCAGTCTATCCATACAATAGATTTATTCAGCCATAAAAAGGAATAAAATTCTGATACGTAGTACAACATGGATGAAGCTTAAAAACATTATGCTAAGTGAAAGAGGTCAGACACAAAAACATATTATATTATTTCATTTATATGAAAACCCCAGACAGAATAAGCAAAGCTATCTAGAGAGAAAGTAGTTTAGTGGTTACCTAGGGCTGGGAGGTGGGGAGAGCAGGAATGGGGGATAATTGCTAATAGGGGGCTAATGAAATTGTAAATTTAGATTGTGAATACACTCTGTGAATATACTAAAACCATTGAATTGTACACTTTAAATGGGTGGATTTTATGGTATGTGGATATCTAAATAAAGATGTTTTCCAAAAACAGACATCACCTAATTACAGTACATGAACCCCTCTTGACCTTGATCAAACTAAACTTTTTAAAAAGGTATTTGTGAGACAATCAGGGAAATCCGAACAATGAAAACTTGATAATACTAAGGAATTTGTGTTCTATTTTTTTAAACATGTGCCAATGAACTACGTTTATGTATTTTTATTGTTATTAGTTTCAGGTGTACAAAGCAATGTAATAGACCTTTATACCCCTCACAGTGATAACCCCCCTCCCCCAAACTATTACCCCTCTGACATCATATATATCTATTACAATTCCATTGACTCTATTCCCTATGCTGTACTCCACATCCTGTGACTATATATATATATAATTATAGTTGACATTCAATATTATTCAGCTTCAGCTTCAGGTGTACAGTGCAGTGGTCAGGCATCTACATAGTCCATGAAGTGGTCTCCCTAATAAGACAAGTGCCCATTTGACACCCTACAAAATCTTTACAACATTATTTATTATATTCCCCAAACTGTATTTCATATCCCCATGCCAATATTGTGACTACTAATTTGTACTATCTAATCCCTTTACCTCCTCCCCCATCCCCACCCCCCTCCCATTGTAGCAACGATCAGTTTTTTTTCCTTATATCTCTGAGTCTAGTTCTGTTTAGTTTGTTCATTTATTCTGTTCTTTAGATTCCACATATAAGTGAGATCATATGGTATCTGTTTGTCTCAGTCTGACTTATTTCACTTAGCGTAATGTTCTCTATGTCCATCCATGTCATCACAAATGGTAAGATTTCATTCTTCTTTATGGCCGAGTAATACTCCATTGTATGAATGTACCACAGTTTCTTTACCCAATCATCTATCAGTGGGCACCTCTATGTTTATTGTAGCGTTATTTGCAATAGCCAAGATATGGAAACAACTGAAATGTGGTTATGTTTCTAAAAGAGGCCTTATCTTTAGAGATATATCCTGAAATATTTTCAAATGAAATGATCTGGTAACTGCTTCAAAATCATTTGGGCTGAGAGGACATAGAAAAAACAAAATCGATGAGGCAGTGTGATAGGTACGTAGGGTTTGTTATACAGGCCCCTCTAGTTATATCTATATTTGAAATCCTGCAAAATAAAATCAAAAGAAAGTAAAAAATCATTCCTAATAGGTACCTATTTGTATTTATATCATCATTTGCATATACTGTGAAGAAATTCACAAGCAGTGGGTAAGGTAAGCAAGTAATCAGTATGTACAATCTGTTTCTACTTATTTTTTAAAATCAGGATGTCAACATTAATTTGTTGTATCTACAATATTCTGCCTTCAATAAAGCCATTACCACCAATCAGAAAATGATGTCTGCAATTATACAAGTATACTTCAATTACACACCTTATTTCACAAGAGAAAATTAGTCTTAGTCCTCATTTCAGTGTCAGGTTACAATTATCAAGGACATATTGTTATTCTTCAAAATTGAAGTACAAAACGAAAGTTTTATGAATTTTTTTCCCGACTCTACTATTTCACTATTTGTTTAGTCTTCAGCGCAGTAAAATGTAGGCACACAGAATTAAATCAAATTCCTCTCAGCTTGAATTTTACATGAGAACTCAACAGGAATATATATTTCTGAAGACAACCAGAAGAACTGACATGTGGGCATAAAAATGCTGGCCAATTTTCCTCCCATATTTTACTTTCTCTCAGAAAAACCAGAGGAGAAAATCCTGAGCCAAAGAAAGCGAGCATGAATTTGAACTTCTATGGCATATATAACATCAGGTGACTTGGGCCCTAACTCTAGGAGGCTACACTACATCGTTGCTCTAACTCTAATATAATGTCGCCTTGGTGGCACACTCTACGAGTATCATTTTAAGAACTGCTCCAGCTACTAAAGCACACGGTCTAGACCAGGTTCCCCCAAATTCCTATGAAACCCCTTTGAAACTGAAACATAATTTTCCAAATGTCATTACCAAGTGTTTTTTGCATGGCTTATAGTTGATAAGAAAATCGATCTTAGAGGAAAACAAACTGAAGTCACAGAAGGCTGTCGTACTCATTTTGTGTGAACTGTTTCTCAAGATGTGCACTGCTGTTCACGTGAGACAGTCATCTGGGACCCACACTCTCACCCATCAGACTTCATTACCTGAAATGAAGGAACTCGGATCTGGCTGAAGGGATCGGAACTGGTTGACATAGTACTCGCGCTGCTCTTCTGTAATCCTCCAGGGTTCGTCTGGGTAATTGCTGTTATCCTGTGGTTCTCTCTCCACTGAGAAGGACTTTCAAAATAAATAAGCAAATGCTAAGAGAGTCTCTTTAGTGAGATGAAGGAGAAATATTAATCACCAGTTCAAGTTATCATGCGTTATAGTTATTTTTTTCCTCAAGGGAATAAATTTAAACACCTCGTAACTAGAATGTAAACTTCTGAAGGGCAGGCATCATGCTTTATACTTTTTTGGTATTCCCCAAAGTTGTTAAGAGGACTGAGCAGGAAATACTGAGCACCCAGTGAGCGACAAAAGTTTTCCCATTGTGATGAAGGAAGGGTACAAAAATCATTCTTATCTTCAAATAGTCACCATATTTTGATCCTTTCAGACAAGCTGATAGTAAAATAATTTAGATTCTTTTTCAACCATAAAAAAATCTAGAAAAGCTATAACCACACTGTCTTTTTTTCTGAGACATTCCCATTGTATAAATCTGGGAATCAAAAAAAAGTTCCAGTTCAAATCCCCCCCCCCACCCGCCGCCCCAGATCCTACCAGGATCACTGAAACTCTCATACTGCATTTGTGAACTAGGGTTAATACTTAGTAACAGAGCTGGGTGGAGAGAACAGCTGTCATGGTACCACAAACCGGGTAACAGGGGTGCATCAGATGTACCACTAGGGGGCGTGCAAGCCACAGTTGAGGCTTTAAGGATGCAGAGAACCAGAGAAATGGTGCAGGATAAAAACAAAGCTTGCTAGGCAGTAAGGAAAGAAGCAAAAAGGGTAATTCTGGGAGGAGGAGTCCAGGGCTTTGTTCCATCCCCCTAATCTACCCTAAAGCTAAAGTGCTACAGCAAAGGGCCACCTTTTTAAGGAACCAAGAGGTGAATACAAGAAGGGTGAGCCTTTAGGACAAAAGGAGAGTAGGAAAGAAAGGGAGAGGTATTACTGCTGATGAGCCATCAAGTTGCCACTTCTGAACACACTGTCAAGGAATTAATCGTTAGGAGGGCATTCTATTCACTATCTCTAAAAAAGACAGCAGACCATCTTCACTGCCCTTCCCCCCCACACACACACACACACACCCATTCCAGGAATTAATTCTTCCCAGGAACACCTGGCTCTCCTCTGACGACATTCAGAGAAGAAATGAGGCTATAAAATTTTGAGCTGTGATCTAACCTTGATAAGTCATCTTTGAAGTTTCATACTAGGGGAGTTTCTACTAAACGTAAATCAAATCCTTTTTAAATGCCCTGGAAGCCACTATCCATTAAGTTAATACCTTAAATTCATAGAGGGCTCTGAAATTTACAAAGCATTTACACATCCCTATCTCATCCAAGCATCTCAAAACATTTAAGAGGTAGACACAGCAGGTATCATTATCCTTTTCCCAGGTGAGGAAGTTTTCTGAGAAAGGCTCAGAAAACTTAATGGATGTGTCCATATCCTTCAGTGAACCCCTGCAATCAGCAAATAATTGCCCTCTTTTAAATCTGTTGTTGAAAGTCAAGCTCTGGCCTATCAGGTTGTTTAAAATTGGGTTGTACCCATCTGAACTGTTTTCAGAAACCCCTTATTCTTTCTGGTAAGAAACAAACAATATAAATCAGCATGGAAGATTAAAAGTCGGTCTGAGCACCCGATGGACCACACAACTTTCCAAAACAGTACAGTCAAATTCCAGAGCCAAACTCAAATGCTCCAGCAGCACTTTGTGAACAAGCCCAGATATCTGAGTGGGTTCCAGGGGTCAGAACCCGGGGAGAGGCCATCAGCGTGCACTGGACCGGGGTCCTGGCCGGACGATATAACGTGTAGAGCTCACAGGAGCACTGACCTCCAGGTCAACACCAACAGAAACTGCTGGAGTAAAAGAACCCAAAGAGCTGGGCATGGACAGGAGAGACAAGAATGGGTGTTTATGTGTGAACAATTAAGCAGGCGGAGATGCTTCACAAAGCCGGCGGGATGCAGGTGGTAAGCTCTGTCCCCCTGCTACCCTGAGAATGAAGGCACCGATGTCTCCGTGCTGGGGGTTGGCTGCTCTGTTCTCTGGATCTGACATGGAAGGTACTACTCCCCTGGAATCCATTCCTTCCCTCCTGGAACTGGAGCTGTCATATCCAGTTGCTGCCAGCCTGTTTGTTCTTTCTCCAGTGCTAGGACCATCTGCTCACTCTATTTCCTCTCCCACATCACCTCACTCCTGAGTGGTGTTAGTGGCCTCTTAGCAGCTCTCCAGTCTATTCTGACAGCAGGAATCCAGAACAGAGAGGAGAAAGGGACTGATTCCTCCATGTAAAAGCTTACAAGATGACCTACTGCCTAATATAAAAGCCCACCTTCTCCACCTGGTCTTCACGGACCCTATCACCCAGCCTCACTCTCGCCAGGGTTCGGATGGCCCACATGCTCACTCTTCATGGGTCTGACCCCAGCCTGCTCAAATCCTGCCCATCCTCGAGTCCCACTGTCTGCCCGAAGGGCTCTCTGATGCACCTGCCAGGCCCATGGCCACTGCAGAGGGCACCTCTGCTCCCCAGCTCTGCTACAAAGACGGACCTGGCAGGCACGTGTGTGCTGCATGACCCGCCTCACTCCTGGTCTCACCCGACTGAGTCCAGGGGGCAGGAGGGACACACGGCAGCTGGCCTCTGGGATGCTCTGGCATAAAAAGCTCTTCTCTAGTAAGAACAACCTAGGCCAGATACTCATTCTTGGGGATGTGGATAAGAAATATGAAGACCAACAAGCAGAGAGAGCAGACCCTGAACAGGCACCTTCTGCAAAGTATGAGTTATGATGTAGAGGAAGAGCCAGGTGGCACTTAAAGTCACGTGGGAGCCAGAGCCAAGCATAAGCAGAACCTGTGAGGCAGAGAAGCACTAGAAAGAGTAGGCGCTGAGGATGGCTCTTGACAGCCAAATAAGTGATCAGCAAAGCAAAATCAAGGCCACTGTTAATGCAGAACAGGCATGAATAACCAAGAGCTCCCGCTCCTCAGGACCACATGGTCACTCCTTGTCTTTCATCTTTTGGGTTCCCATGAGAACCCCAGCCCCTCCTTGTCCAAGAAAACTTAAGCTGGCAAGGGCAACTCCTGCTCCCTAAAACCAAAAAGGCCTTACAGCAATGAAAGAGGGCATATGGACTTGTGTGAGCCGTACATCGCATGGCCCTTCTACTGGCTTGCAGGAAACATGTTAACCAATCCCCATCTCTTTCCCTCTGCTTGTCACCGCGTGGTTTTAACTAATTTAATAAACCAAATGATTTGAACATCTTAAAAAACACGAATCCTATTATAATTATGGTAAGCATTACACAGTTTGAACACTGAGTGTTCTTGGCTATCTTCACTCAGGTTTCAACCTGGAGGGCTAGAACCGTATCATACATACACTCCTTTATTCTGCATACAGTCTCCAGCAGGTACATTGAGGATGCTAAAACGTAGTGTGAGGTCCACTTTTTGATGGGCTCTAGTAAGTTCAGGGGTATGTCTTATATTGAAAGAGATGCAGAAACACTACTCGAAGCTGATTCACTACAAGAAGCAAAATGATCTGAACTTTGCTGCACACACAGTGACCCACTCATTCACGCATTCACTCATCACAGATACTTACTGAACACCAACAATTTCCCAGACACTAGTCACTAGGGCTACACTGATGGGCAAACAGATTCTTTTTCCCAGGAAGCCCAGAGTCCAATTAAGGAGAAAGACAGGTAATAGCAAAACAGTGCAGTGCATGCTATGGTAAGATAGGGTACTCTAGAGCTGTGCTATTCAAAGTGTAACCCCCTGACCACCTACATCAGCATCAACTGGGGACTTGTTTGAAATACAGAACCCTAGGCCCTACCTCACACCTAGTAAATCATAAAGTCTGGGAGTGGAGCCCGGGAAATCTGTGGTCTAACAAGCCTTCTAGGTGATTCAAAGTTTGAGAAGCAATGCTATAGAATACGCAGGGCAAGACAAGCGAAAAAACAAAGATACCCAAAAACGAGAGAAAATAGCCATCTCCTAAAGTAGTTGGTTGGGTACACATAGACTAGGCTGCTAGTGCAGAGAGGATGTCCATGGAGTCTCAAGATGGTCCAGACAAAAAACAAGGCCTAGATCACAATGGCCCAGGTGCACCAGGTTAAGAGGTTTAGACTGTATCTGGAAAATAATAGGGAGTCACAGGTAAGTATTAAACAGGACACTGAAATAATCAGATTTGAGTTATAGGAAGATCAGTTCAGGTAAGACCAGTTAAGGTCAGATCAGTGAACCGGCGAGAGGTCAAGGTGACCTCACGGTAGAGAGGGCTATGAAAGGGCTAAACAAAGCCATATGGCCACCACCAGAGAAAGGCCCATTCCAGCAGTGGATGGCAGCTCGGGACCTCTCTTGTCAGCAGGTACGGGGCCACCTCACTTCAGGACCCAGAGGCATGAAACCATCTCCTTCAAATGAACCCAAAAGTCAACCACAAAAGCTGACACAGCTTTTCAAAGTCAGTCACCTAAGAGAGAATGTCGAGTTGCAAAGATTGAAGGCACTAAGAAATAGGGGTGGGTGAGCTGTGGAGCCGTGGGCTTCCAAGTGGAAGCCCGAAGCAGGAAAAGCTCCACTTCGGGCGCACCCTAAGAGGCCCCCCCCCAGTTCAACTCCAGCTCCAGTGGTTTGGTTGGCTGGCTGGAGATATTGGTACTTGGTGCCAATTTTGAGCCCTGCCAGTATTTTTAAGAAAAAATAAAAGGAGAGAGAGAGAAATCACCCACATCTGTCTGCTTAAGCCACATACATATGGTTCATTATACAGTTTCTCTAGACACAGGAGAATTCGATTTGCTTGTATTTAAAACATTCAAACCCTTGGTTTTGTTTCAAGTGAAATGCAAATATTTGGCACTGCAAGTTATTATCTCTTGGGAAAACAGGCTGTTTATAATGAAAGAGACTTCAAAAGACTCATTAAAAAGTAATACTATTAATAAAATCCCAAAAGGTGGCACTTACCCTTGAAGTATCTTAAAAATCAAGCATAGCTGAAT